GTGGCTTAGTTGGTTAAACTGCCATCCCTTCTACCAAATAAGGTTGCAGTTCGATTTTCTCTCTCTTTCTTTCTCTCTCTCTCTCTCTCTCTCTCTCTCTCAAATCAATAAATATAATATATGCTTGGGTGAGGATTAAATAAAAAATAATATAAGCACATGGCAGGAAAGCAAAAAAGAATAATATAAGCATATGACAGGAAATAAAATATGTTTAACATGGAAAAATCTATGTAGTCACTAAATTAGAAAATATGGGAGATAAATCGCATGCTCATGACCATATATCCAGAAAAAAACACTTGACAAAATTCAACACCCACTCATGAAAAAACTCTCAGCAAACTAGGAATAGAAGGAAACTTCTGCAACCTAATAAAAGGCATTTATGAAAAACCTACATCATAATTAATGGTTAAAGTCTGAATGGCTTCACCTAAGATTGGAAGTAAGGCAAGAAGGTCTGCTCTCCCATCAATATTCACCTAATTTCAGAGGTCCAGACCAGTACAATAAGACAAGAGGAAGAAAGGAACAGTATGCAGATTGGAAGGTATCTTACAGTTAAAAGGTATCCAGGTAAGCCAAAAATCCTAAAGAATATACTAGAAAGCTTCTCAAAAAAGTAAGTCTAGCAAGGCACAAAGATAAAAGGTAAATACTTTTAGAGTTCAATAATACTTCTAAATATTAGCAATGAATAACTAAAAAATATAGTTTGAGAAGACAACTTTCATTGTGAAATGCTAAGGGATAAATTTATTAAAATATGAGCAAGATCTGCACATTGAAAACTATAAACATTGCTGAGAAAAATTAAAGAAAATTTAATTAAATGGAAGAATATATGGAAAACTGAATATTACAAAGACGCCAATACTTTCTATGTTAATCTATAGAGTCAATGCAAAAAAGTTACGGAAGTGAGTGAATGTGTGAGTGTGTGTGTGTGTGGGTGTGGGTGTGTGTGTGTGTACACGCGCGCCCACATATGTATGTAATTTGACAAGTCAATTCTAAAATTTATATGAAAAGGCAACATAACAAGAATAACTAAGAAACTTTTGAAGAACAGGCGAGAAGGCTTGCTCCACCAGGTATCAGGATTTGTTATAAAGTTGTAGTAGTTACACACTATGTTACTGATAAAAGGAGAAATAAGCACTAGATATAAGGACAGATATAAAGCAGAATAGGGTCCATAAACAGACCCAATTTTCATGTAAGACAAATATGTCAATCCTGAGCAATGAGGACAGCATGGTCTTCTTAATAAGTAGATCACTCAGATATCCACACAGTATAAACGACACTTCATGCCTACCTCAGACTATATATGGAAAGCAATTCAAGGCAGATTATAAATCCCAGAGTGACAGGCCAGACAAAGCTAGAGGATAAAATAGAATATCTTCATGTGACTTAAGACACAAAAAGTTCAACCCTAAGGGAAAACATTAGTAATTTGAATAAATTAAAATTACAAACTTTTATTCATAAGTCACCATCAAGGAATAAAAAAGCAACAGGTAGATGGGAAGATATATTCAACAAAAGGCTCATACCCTCAGTCCATAAATAACTTTTAAAAACCATTATGAAAGGCAGAAAATGTAATTCAAAACAACAAACAGAAAAAAAAAATGGGTAAAATACTTGAAAAGGCACCACACAAAAGAAGATATAAGCATGGTCAATAACCAATAAAAACATTAAAAGGTGTTCGATTTTGTTAGTCATCAGAAAGTACAAATTAAAATAATAAAATATCACTATACACCCACCTATATACACAACCCAATGTGGTAGAGGGCCTGAAACGAAAGGAATGCACCATCACTTCATAGGAACAGTTTTGCATTGCCTACCAAAGTGGAAGACAATCATATCCAATAACACTTCGGAGCAATTTTACTCCCATGTATATACTCTACAGACGTGCACCTATAGATTTGCTCCAAAATAAATAAATAAATAAATAAATAAATAAATAAAACCACCCAATGTATGTCCTCAATCAATGAATAAACAAGTTATGGGACAGTCACACAAATTCAACAACAAAAGTAACAAACTGACATGCAGCAATATGGATGCGTCTCAAAAACACGATGCTGAGTAAAAGACACCAGATACAAAATATTACTTGCTATGGATTCCATGTATATGGAATTTTAGAACAGGCACAACTGACATAAGGAGATCAATAGTTGCAGGATACAGGGAATAATTTACTGCAAGTGGACAAAAGAGATTTTTTAGGGGGGAATGGATGAGTGACTGAATATTCTAAATCTTGATGTGGTAGTGGTCACATAGGTATATGTATTTACCAAAACCCATCAACCAGTATACTTAAAATGAGTCTATTTTATATGGAAATTAGATATAAATCAGACTTACATTTGTCTAGAAATAATTTATATATGCATGAAGACATATACTACCTATGCAAAATACCAGACCAGGTTGAGAATATCAAGTATCTGTCAATGGAATGACTATCATGGTATAGACCAGTGATGGCGAATCTATGACACGCGTGTCAGAGGTGAAATGCGAACTCATTTTTTTTGGTTGATTTTTCTTTGTTAAATGGCATTTAAATATATAAAATAAATATCAAAAATATAAGTCTTTGTTTTACTATGGTTGCAAAGATAAAAAAATTTCTAGATGTGACACAGTACCAGAGTTAAGTTAGGGTTTTTCAAAATGCTGACACGCCAAGCTCAAAAGGTTCGCCATCACTGATATAGACAATGAAATATTATACGGTAGTAAAAGTAGCTACAACCACAAGCACCAACACAGATGAGTCTCAAAGTTAAGTAAAATCAACCAGACTAAAAGAATACTCACTGTATTATTGTATATTTAAAAAATTATAAAACAAAACTACAGTGGGGCCTTGACTTACGAGTTTAATGCATTCCATGACGGAGCTCATAACTCAAATTACTCGTATGTCAAATCATAAAGTGAACGAGTGAGACACGTGATGCTGGGCTGATGTTGTGGCGTTCACTGTGACGTTCGCTGCGCCAACTAGCGGTGGGGTACCTGAAGCTGGCTCATAACCCGAATTTTAGCTCGCAACTCAAAGCAAAAAATCAGCCAAGAGACGGCTCATATAACGAAAAACTCGTTAGTTGGGACACTCGTAAGTAAAGGCCCCACTGTACATTGTTTGAGCCATACTTAAGAGATAAACTTTTTTTTCAATAAAGAAAGTAATTGTTATTTAAAGTCAAGATAAAAGTTGGCTCTCACTGGTTTGGCTCAGTGGATAGAGTGTCAGCTTACGGACTAAAAGGTCCCAGGTTCGATTCCAGCCAAGGGCATTGCCTGTGATGCAGGGTCCCCCCAGTAGGGGGCGTGCAGAAGGCAGACAATCAATTCTCTCTCATCATTGATGTTTCTATCTCTCTCCCTTCCTTTCTGAAATACACACACACACACACACACACACATATATATATTTTTAAAAGAGGTAAAAGTTGTCTTTGGCAGGGGAGGAGCATACAAGTTTAACAAAGGATTACAAAATACTTCACCCTTTATTTGTTCATTATCTCCCGATTCTTCATACTGTTATTCTATATAAAAGGGTAATATGCAAATTGATGCTAATGGCAGATCG